TTTTTTGCCTTGTTTTGGAAAATCGACCGCATTGTTAGAACTACTGATGACCAGGCTAATGTTTTTTGTACCTCAATGTACAACTAATAACGACGGCAAATCCATCCATCCTACGGTTTCTCCGGATTGAGTGCGTAGAGTTTGAAAATGGTGCAAATTCATTGTCGGATCCTATTTATTTCGGCTGAATATTTTCTAGATCCTCCCCTGGTTAGTATTTTTGTTTTTTGGATACACAACATTTTTTTAATTGCTGTTTTCAAAATTGAAGGTGTTACAGATATCCAATAGTGACAACAGAAGATAAAAAATTATTTTTCCATTTTCAACCAGATTACAGGATGTTTTGATACAAAAATTTTGCTCGTTTGAGTTCTTTCAAACCTCGACCAATAGGTCCGGAAAACCCGTTTTTTGAAGCCCGAAAATTTTTTCTTGCGCTGTTACGTTGCTCCTAATATTTTTCGGCTAAAACACCTGAAAACTAGGTGCGGTTTTTGCTTAAAAAGTTGACCACCTTGACAAATCTTTTTTCGATAAATCCGTGGTGGGAAGTTTTCAAATCGACAATAATTACGTTATTGCTCTATGAATGTGCCAGTTTCAGTTTTTCAAATGCGGTTTGTTTATAAACTAGGTTAACCTAGACGCCACGCGACGCCTGTTATGGATACTGACTCACATAGCCTTAGTTCATCAACAGTGTTGTGACCAAATTACTTGCAAATACCAGACAGTTTTACAAGTTCAAAGTGTTTTTATTCGTTGAGTAATGACGAGTATCGAAATCTTCTGCAAGTTCAATTCTATCGCTGAATGAATTTTTTGTGAACCAGTGCTATGAATTCCCATACCGAGCAGACCCGGCTTCTATGCGACGAACGTGATGACTCTAAACACTTTTATAAATCCCCAGTTTTATATACGGTAGTATAATTAAGTCGTTGGAGATGGGGTTTCTTGATAAACGAATAACCAAAATATGCAAGAATTTGCTCCAGGTGTCTTAGAAAATGTAACCTCTTCAAAAATAAAATTGGTGGAACCAAACGTGTATTTCATGTGAGCTCCAGCAGATTTAACGTGGAGTTAAGAAAAATCACCCATAGAAAGTGTGATTTATATCAACGGAAACAGAAGTTGTTCGTAAAAACATTAAACCAACGTATTCCAGGAATACGGTAATCAATCGCAAAAACCTGTAGCACCCTAGGCAGATATGAAACGAGTGACGAACTGACAATTTTGAGGCCTACTCAACTTTTTTGAATAAGTAAGGTTTAGCAGTCAAAGTATGACATATCATACATTTTGGCACGGCGTCCATAAGAAAAAGAAAGTTGATGATTGAGGAGAAGAGACGAAACGACATATTGAAATTCTAATTATGGCATCTTGTAGAGGACAAAAAGTGGCAGCGTTAATGTGTGACTTATTTTGTAATGCCAAGTCAAATAAGGCCAGGGAAAAATAAAAACGAGTCTATAGTATAAATAAAAATTCATCTTTCATTCATTTGTTATATGTATTTATAATTACTAAAAGACACATTCAGCATTTATTACAAAATAATTTTAAAATATCAACTAAATAAGTAGTTTATAATACATACTTTCTTTATCTACAATATTTCTATATTGAAACTTTGGTAACACATTTACAAATACAAACACTCTTACGTACTGGATATATCACCTGGGTTTTCAATAAATAGGTAATACATAAAAGCATTTGTTGCTTTGTAATGGGTATTAAAATTGCATCATGTAAAACTATCAAGTTTGTTACATATTTTTACATAAGTAATATTATCTTTAGATATAAATTTAAATGGTAGTTAAAAATAAAAATATTAATAAAAAACTGTACCAATATGGTATAAAAAACTGCATTGAAATAATGAATAAAAATAATACAATGGCATTGAAAAAATAGATTTATGCACGGTGTCCCAACCGTGGGAGGATGGAGTGTTGCTCCAAAACGAAAAGTTCTTAAAGAAACTATATACGGATTATTATACAGGGTGTTTGTACATGAACCAACAGCATTGGCTACGGTTACCGAGATATGATCGTTTTTATTTTTTTGCTGAATTACCTACAATTGCGCATAAATATCGTTAAACTTTTGTGTTACTGGAGATAATGACACAAAATAAACGTAATCTATAAAAATAAAACAGAAGGTCTGTAAGTAAAACTAGGTTTCAAAAAAGGTACAGTTTTTTTATAATCAAATTTCGCATTTGAAATAATTTATACACTCCACATGATTGTACGACTTTGGAAGGTCATTTGTTTGAGAAGATTCGCACGAACTGTTTATCTGATCTTATTGAGTATACATTTACGTTTATTTTTTGTGTTATCTCAATAAGCAGAAAAGCTTGTAACGATATTTATGCGCAAATGTAGGTAATTCAGAAAAAAAAACGAAAAACGATCATTTCTCGGTAACCGTAGCCCTTATAGCCTTGCGGTTTGCATCAAAAATCATCAAATAGCCCCAATCGCCCAAAAAATGTTGTTGGTTCATGTACCAAACACCCTGAATATGGTATCTGGAGGCATATTTCTAAAATATTCACAATTATACAATTATTACTCGCATATCAAAATTGATTTTTCGCAGAATGCCCTGATTTTTATTACACATTCAGATATGCTCTTTTAAAATAACAATAATAATTAATATAACACACTTAGGTGTTGGTTATTAAAAAAATCTCATGAAAATGGCGATCCGATAGTGCAAAAATATACAGGGTGTTAGATTTTTTACTTTGCGTTTTTGACCACCCTGTATTGATCGTTCAAGGAATTCAAAGAATGGATGAATTAGCTAAAATTGAATAGAATAAAAAAAGTGTGTTCCATTTAAGAAAAATGAATTTTGATATGTGGGTCAAAGTTGAGACATCCTATATAATTTTGGATATTTCAGAAATATGCCTGCAGATACCAGGAGCAACACTTTGTCCTCGCACGCCTGGGAAACCCTGTATATGTTGATTCATAATTTTGCAGAACATGCTACATAGGCCTGTAGAAAATATTTCAGAATATTTAGAATCACTTTACAGAAACAGGAGGAGAATTTTGTAAATCGTGGGCTTAGTACTACAACTAGGTAACTCATTTTTTAAAAGAACCGAGTTATCCACTGGCAACTGATCTACTATGTCTGCTCTATTTAATGCAATAACTAGATAATTTCTAAAATTGTCCGTCTCTGCGCAGAAAATAGGTATTTTTTTAAAACGCGTGATATTTCATACTAAAACTAGGTATCTTTGGTTACCCAGTTATAGCATCAAAATCAACGCGGCTTTTTCACTTATCCAGTTGTTGTTTTAATCTTTGGTAAACACACTGCTAGTGAAATTTGTTATTGTTTTGCCAAAAATATGAGTTCCAGAAGCAAAAGAATAGTTTCAGCAGCTCTTAAGGATTTTAGTGAACACACAGGTATGTTTTTTAATCCGTACCTTTCTTTAATTAGCAAAAATAATTGGCGTTTAGTTTTGTCAATGATATTTTTTTTGCAATTCAATAAAAGTTAGGAAGACTACCAGCAATTGTTTACGTGTTTTTATAGCTGTAATTGTGTATGATTAAGTTTCAGTGAAGGAATGTGATCTATTGCACAGGGTGTTATAAAATTGAATACAGATTTTACATAATATAAGTATATTTGCCTATGAATGCATCTTCTTCAATTAACTAATAAATTTGTCTGTCTTGTTAAATCTAGAATGTTTAATGTAACTCGTTAACTGCACATTTTTAAATTTGTGCCAATATTTTTTTTTTGCTTTTCTGTTTGCGAAACTTACTATGGCTTCTAGAGAGGATGTATAAAACTATTATGGTTTTATTTTATTTTAGGTATGGATGCAATGCCGTCCACATCAGAAGTAAGTCAGTGCGCTGAAATTTCAACAGATGCTGAGCCTTTTTCGCCCGAGGTTTCAGAGTATTCCCCCTCATCAGAAAGTGATGACTCAGACGACCACTCAAATGATGATACTCCGTTATTAACAATAAGGGAAGGATAAAAAAGAAAAAACAATTAGCAATTCAGTGTCATTAGCGGAACAAACAACACAGCCTGATGGACAAATAAATCAAGAAGAGTTCGATGGAATGCAAGAGACTCCTACAAGAACCCTAAAACCAAGAAAACGACTTAGGCAGCCTGAAAAATGGAAGAGAAATGTATCGAAAATAAAGCGACAACATGGAGAAGCATATACTTCGTCTCGAAAACTTTTGTTCCGGGAGTTTGTATGCGTGAGCCTTGTCCGATAACTTGTCGAAAAAAATGTTATTTAAATTTTTCTAATGAAGAAAGACTTAGTGTCTACTATAATTTGGAGATTTATGAAAGAAAGCGGGATTTTCTTCATAGCAATACAGATAAATTGGAAAAGAAAACTGTATCAAGAGAAGGATCAAGACGAAATTATACGGTTCACTTTTACTTGCCAAAAGAAACTAATGCTAAAATCACAGTTTGTAAGACTATGTTTCTTAATACACTTGGCGTAGGAAAAGGTGTTATTGATATAGCTATGACAAAAAGAACTCAAGAAAATACTAGTGAGCCTGACAGAAGAGGCAGGCACATAAAAAACAAAGTGCAGAAAATATTTTAAATAGTGTCAGACATCACATTGAAAGTTTTCCGGTTGTAGAATCACACTATTGTCGTTCAGACTCAAAAAGGAAATATCTGTATCCCTCTCTTAACATAAATTTAATGTACGAAATGTACACCAAGGAAAGATTGGAACAGAATTTAAAACTGGCCATATCGAAAGATGCTTAAAGAAGAATATAATTTAGAGTTTCACCATCCCAAAAAAGACCAATATCAGAAATTAAAGAAATACGACAGAAATTAGATCATCACGAAAATCAGAAAATTTTCAACATAATTGTTTCACTTTTCGTTTTCCTTATCTTTTTAATTCAATTCACAAAAGTAATATCACAATGCCGAGACTTCAGAGAAGTAAGAAGAACATCAGAAGACGGAACAGAATTGTTGCAGGATCTTCAAACCGAGTAAAATTATCAACATTATTTCGACAATCAAACATCATTGGATATCTGCAGCTTACTCGTCTTATCTTAACTTCCCTACCGATCACAGGCATCACATCTTTGACTTCACTATTTGATGTAATATTTTCACTTGTCGCCAAGAAATTAGGCGCTGTCAATTACAATGTAGGAGCTTACGCTATGTTTACTGTTACTCCAGCAGCATTACTACTAAATTCACCACTTCTGGCAAAAGACACCAATGGAGGATACTCATTTCCCGGTCATCCAGTCAGCGTAAAATGGATAAAGTCTGAAACAATCAATACCACACAAAGGTCTGAGATATCTGGTCGATAGGCAGTTGTTTTAATACCATATCGAGAAGAACATGACAAAGATCATTTTCAGAAAGTTATTAAAGATTTAACATTCTCAGAGGTTGCAGCTATGCCATATGCAAAGGTCGCTAAGGCGAACCAGACCATAAAGCTCCAACTTAAAATGAAGGATAAGACCATGTATTGTGCTAGACCACGAGAAATATCAGAAGAAATATGTCTAGTATGTATTATCTGGGATACAGCATCACCAGCAGATCTTAAGTCAACTATCTCTAATACTGAATTTAACTGTGAGATAGAAGCTTCTGGTGGTTGTATACCCCACACTATATTTGGTCCACAGCATAGTCAACTTCAGTGCAAACACCTTTAATGTGAGGTCGCTGACGACAGGAAATGTGTGTGTGCATCAAGAAGACGGGTCCGTATTTAGAATGAGTGTAGAAGATTTTCAAAACCAAGCACACGAAGAAGGTTTTGAATGCATTTATATGCAAAATTAAAGCTAGATGGCTACCGAAACTTATAAAACCTGTGTAAATAAGGATCAATTAGAAGAAAAGTACCAAAGTCACCTGTTAGCCGAAAATCAAGCACGAAAGGAGAAAAGGAATGATAAAGAACGAGCCCAGGACGCAGTCGCAGGTCAACAATTTGTAAGCTGTAATTTTGATCTTCAGCAAGTTTTGTTAGCACCAACTGATCCGACAAATAATGCCCTATTTTATAAACAGCGTTTCAAGTCTTTCAATTTTACCATCTACAATGTGGCTTCACATCAAGGTGATTGTTTTGTTTGGTCTGATATTGATGGCAAGAGAGGAAGTTGTGAAATTGCAACATGTTTGTACAGATATTTTCAGTCTCTTCCTGCTGAAATTAAACATATTTCATGCTTTAGTGACCGTTGTGGCGGTGAAAATCGAAATAAATTTACAGCAGGAATGTGCTTGACTGCAGTACAAGAATTACCTAATTATCATACCATAGATTTAAAGATTATGGTTGTTGGTCATAGTGAAATGGAATGAGACTCTATGCATTCAGCAACAACAGAGCAGCAACGAGTTGGAAAAGTGAATTGGCCAGCGGACTGGAAGACAATTGTGCAAAAAGAAAAGGCGACAGACCCTACGTTGTCCACGAAATGTCGCACGATAAATTCATAGATTGGAAATCTTACGTGGATCGTAACATGACAATTCGCAAAGAAGACTTAAAGGGTGAAGCAGTTAGTTGACAAACAATCTGTTGGTTCCACTTTTCGAAAAAAAATCCATTCATAATAAAGTTTAAAGAGTCCTTCGAAGAAGAAGAGTTTAGATTTAGAAGTCTTGATTCAAAACGAACAAGAAGCAAGGGTGCTTTGATATTACTAGAACGCAAGCCTCTATATGCGTCGGTCTTACAAATATCAAAATAAAAGAATGACGACTTAAATTCTCTATTGAAACAGGCTCCTCCAGCAATTGGAATAGAATATAAGCCATTTTATGAAAATTTGCCACACAAAGGAGACTTGAAAAATGAAAAAAAAAATTATTACCAGTTGTTTGTTTTTGTTGCTAATATTAATATTTGGGATGTATTTTGCCAATTTATTAATAAATGACTTTAAATATTTTCATAAAATTGTTTTATTCACAACTAGATAACCAATTAAACCGGAAATATTAATATCAAAAACACAAGTGGATAACTTCTTTATTCATCAACCAAATAGAATTTTTGAGAAAAAAAACGTTTGGTTTCCATAAAACTTTCCATTACCAAATAAAATTTTAACCAATAATACAGAAAAAAGTAGTAATTAAAAATTAAAAAAAAAAATCATAATTAAAAATTAATTTCCAATAATTTCACTTTTTGGGATATCTAGTTGTTGTTCTAAGCCCACGAAATATATTCATAACCAAATAAATTTCTATGGAAAGCTTGAAATCACAGACAGAAAAATAATACTATTGAATATTTATACATGATGATATAACCAAAAAGCGTGTTTCAAAGGAATCACTGTTACTGAAAGCTTAAACATCAAACATCTGACATATTCATGTGTTTCACAAGTCACATAAATGACTTATCACAATTATTTAATCCTCAGAGATCAAGGCCCAACATCTAATTGTAATAGTCGGTTGTAACATATGATCAAAAACGAAAAACATATTTGCGACTTGATAATTACATCATTGGGTTCATGCGATTATGTTTTCCAAAATGTACACTGTACAGAATTTATACTCATTATATATTACATATTTCGCATACACAAATTAAGTTACGAATGGTCAGAAATTGTACTGACTTTTGTCGTTTTACAGTAGAGTTTCAGACTAATTGAGGAGATAACTTTCAAAACGTGTTTTCGTTACAAAATTAATTTCACCTTTTCTTGTGTTTTTAGTAGACAAATCGATCAAATCGTGTCTCCTCATAAATATTTTCTTCGGGTAAAAATGCTGGTAAAACTTAACGTGTTCTGTCCGCCGGGAATCAGACATAAACTGTTTTCCTGGAAAAATTCCATAGTAATCTCTACTAATTCCCTTTTAATATATTATAAATGTGAAAATGTATGTATTGTTTGTACGTTCCTTAATGGCGGAACCGATTTCGATGAATCTGAGCATATATATGTACAGGTTGACTTCGAAGTTGAGTAATTTATTTTAACAGTGAGTAGATCTGATCAAAAGAAATGTTTTTTTCCTATAACATTTTTCTGGTAAAATTAAAGTAATAAAGTTATAGCCCTTTAGAAGTTTGAGTACCGCCCTGTCTCAATAATAATATTATGTGCTCGTGTTTGGCGCCCAGCTCTGCGTCGAGCAAAACGGAAATCATTTCGAACAGTTTTTGTGACATGCTTTTGGGCGCACAGGTCCGCACTGAAATACTTGTCGGGAGAATACTTTATAACACAAGGTAACATTTTTTTTCAATTTTTTTTTATTTTTACGCACATATTTTGATTTATCTTCCTTCTACAATTATTATCTGAAAATTAATGACTCAACTTCAAAGTCTCCCTGTATATATATATAGATTAGGCCTTGGAGACGGACATAGGTTACCTTTTTGTTGTGAACATTGGTCTTGAGGGGGTTGAAATAAGAGGTAAAAGCTTCTATGGGGAAACTTTTGTTAAAGCTACTTATACATATAGGTATGTTTTTCATATGCAGAGTAAATGGGCACTTACAAAGAAATTCCCTCCCTAAGAGAGTGAAGTAGAAACTAAAACTTTCCGAGTTTTTGTACAGAAGTTATATATCAAATTAATCCAGCCTAAAAGTAGGAGTATGTTTCGTCTTCAATGTTATCCTAAAAATAATTATTATTAACAGAGAGTTACAGAAATTATATCATCAAGGTCGGGTAGGAGGTGGTTGAATATACATGGGGAAGCTTATCAGTTTTCAAGTTTATAGAAATTTATCCCGATCACATTGAGCTATTAACTTGAACTTTGCCAGAGGGGTACTTTATGAACAGAACGTGTCAAATGAGAACCAATTATGTAACAAGGCTGAAACAAGGGGGTTCTGGGCAGGTATACTCGTATATATGAAAATGAAAAAATACAGACTCATTAGTAACGGAATTTCGAAAACTATTCAACATATGAACATTAAATTTCTCAAAAAGGTAGTTTATACAGGGTGTCTGCGAAGGGTTGGGAAATCTCGAAGCTGGAGATACTACAGACCAGAATATGTGAATTGACCTGAACATACATACCTTGGTTCAAAAGCTGATAGTTTGCGAGATACAGGGTGTCGAAGTTACAATTTTATTTTCTATTTTTTCCTTATTGCTTGAGAAGTATTTCAGATTTTGGCATAAAACTCGGTATAGGGAGGTTTTCTAGTATGAGAAACAAGAATCCGTTATTTTTTATGGCCGAACTCCTAGAGAGCGCAACTTATAGCACTATTTCGTTAAATAATTTATCATAACCTTTTTTGTGCTACCCTGTATACAACAACTGACCCAAAAATCTAATTTTCTCGTATTTCCACAACAAAAAAGGTTTACTTGTAAGAAGTGTCTAAAGCTAATAGTTTTCGAGATATTTGTTCGTAAAGGTTCCAATGAATTATTTGTACCATGATGATAGAACATTTTTATAACACAATAATCAAGTTGCTTTGGATTATATCTGAGTAGCGTTGCTCTCTCCAGTTTCGAGATTTCCCAACCTTTCGCAGACACCCTGTATACAAACAGCTAAAAAACTAGGCCAGATGAAGGGGGCTAAGGGCAGATACATACGTATATATAAAAGCAAAAAGATACACATTAATCATGAAATCGCGGAATTATTCGTCCTGCATGAATTTTGACAGGGTAGCTTATGGACAGGACATTTCAGCTAAGATTTTGTCGCACGGCCGGATTAAGAGATTAACGTGCACTTTCAGGTTTGTTTGAAATTGCTTGGAGTTTTCTAATATCTAAAAATTGGCAGCGATGAGGTTCTGTTTACAGTAGACACTAAAAGTGGATTGTGTAATTGTAAATTTGGTAGAGAGGTATATTTTACAATGTAAAATTTAGTGTAATTTGAAATGCTAATTTCAAAAAATTGATATTAATTTGTTTAGCTTTCCGCCTCGCGGTTTTACCCACGTAGCATATAAGCAGTTTTGCTGAGCATGCAAGTGGATTGTCAATTTATTAATGCAATGCGATTATAGCAATACTCAAAAACAATGTAAAATATTAGTTACACTTTGTCTATAAGTTAAACGATACTTCGTAAACCAATAATTAATATATTGAATGGTCAAAAGACTATTGCTACATGTTAACGTGGTTTCAGTTCAAATTGTGTTTTTTCCACAAGGCACATGCATTTATTTATTTATCGATCCTGAAAATCGAGAGTAATCTATTTGTGAAAGTTTAATAGTTCTGTTAGTACATTCAGTTTCATCTGCCAACATTTAAAGAATGCACAAAAATACGGATTAAGTCAACATACAAAATGTACATTTTTCTCGGTTGCATATATATGATGAACAAATCAAATGTTGAAAGATACCTCCTCAATTTAGAATACTGGGAAGCTACTTATTTCTCATAATTTATTTTCCCTACTAGTTTTTAGAATAAGTGCTTCTTTTTTTAAAAAATATACACGTATATAAATGCCTAGAACCAGTCTGTAGCATTTGAGATGTGGATTGCATACACAATACATTGCTTAATATACAGGAAATTATTTTAGTCACACCATGATACAGGTGCGGTAAAAAGTAATTGTACTAGAAATATTGACAAATTCCCTATTCTATGTAATTTATAGCAGAAAGGTAAAACTTTTTTCTATTTAATGTATATCACCGATGGCAGTACCATTTATATTAATTACGCAATTCCTTTATTTTAGTCTAACACTACTTAGGGGTAAATAAAATAAAATCATTTAACAGTAAATTCTATATCACACATTAAATACTTTTTAATAACGATTTTCCCATTGAACATTTCTGAATTTCAGACGATTTGGAATACAGACGACTCATCCAAGACAAAAATTAAAAACTATTCACAGCATGTTCTTCCATGTGATGTCATGTAAAATTCTTGAAATATTGTGTGCGTGGTATTCTGAAATGTATACAGAGTGTTCGGAAGGTCAATGCCATCCTTTTAAGGGATGATAATATACTCCATTTGGAATAGATTAAGCCACATATATATATATATTTACATCTCCATGTGGATCGGTAATCCTTTCAATTCCCAGCAATAAGTCACCTACCAGAAATATCGAATATATATCAAATTTGATTCGTGTATATCCAACAAAAAGGCAAACTGATCCAGGATCAGCTCAAAAAACTGTACATTAACATTTCGGATTTTCATATAAAGTCCGCTATATAGGTCTACCTTTTAAAAACCGTAAGATGTGTCCTCTACCGGAATACCCTTCAGATCACAAAACGGCATTCGGTCCCCCAGAATACTCAAATTAACTAAACACCAGTAGATAAGTCATCCGTGCAGTGGTGCCAAGTTTCATTTATTTCTCTTTACATAATACTACTGAAGTCTCCTAACTTGGACTTGTATTATTATATTATTTTTCAAGGATCTCCAATGGATATAACCAAAATTCTTTCCAGCAACTTTGAGTACACTATTTGCTCGATTAAGACTATACAAAACGTTGCTAGCATACGACAGAAGGATGCCCAACGTTTCGTAAATTATAACTTACCT